TCCTAACATTACTGAAAACCATCTCATGATGATTACAAAATTAATCTTTTCTCTACCTTTATGTTTTGAAAAATAAACTTAGAAGAAAAAGGTTACTGTGACGTTAGCAATGGGGGTTCATGTCAGGGCCCCACAGGCCTGTCCCATCAGGTCTGTGAGCCACATTGCCTCGTCCTGTGTGCTTCAAGGACATCTCAGACGTTAGAAAGTCTTTGGGACTGGGACTGGAATACCCTCACCACACCTGAGGTTCAGCATGTGTGAATGGCTGTCAAAAGCAGACACCAGGCCCTTTTGTCTCCAAGGTAGCTAACAAGCCTTAGGTTCCAGCAGTCAGTGCAGTCCGGAGCTCCACCTGCTGTGACCATGCCCTGGGTAGTCAGCTCTGTTTCTCCTTCTCTTCCCTCAGGAAATCCCTGGCCCCTAGTGCTGAGGTAGTCAATTAATCTCTACTTAGATCAACCCGGCAGCAGGTATAGTGCACATTCCTCGATACCTGTCCCAAAGTTCTGGGTTCCTGAATGAAACACACACACGGCCTTATATTTTAATATGCCTTAAACAGCTCAATGGCTGGGTCAGTTCCTAACCTCCACATGGCTGATGTACTTTCTGATAATCCCAACTTATCACTTAGTAAAACCTGTATTCCATCTTGCTGCCCTGGACCCAGACATGCAGCCCTCCAGGCTCTTACATGTTGGCTGTCTCTCTGTCCTGCACTTCTCAGGAATGGCAGCTATCTCCTTCCTCCTCCCTCAGTCCCTTCCCTGGGAATCCTAAAAGTCTTGCCTCTGTCTCTCTGCCCAGCCATTGGCTGTCAGCAACTTTATTTACCAATTAAAACCAACTGGGGGCAGGGACCCTCAGTGGCTTACATGCAGACATGCAGATTCCCTTGTAATTTTCGGGACCCAATTAACATAATAGAAGCATTAGACCAAATCCACAACACCCTAGTTCTTCAGAGAAACAAGACACACAGACACATAAACACAGATTCACACAGACACATAGGCACACAGACATAGGTGTATACACACACACACCCCTCCCTCTCTCTTCCTCTTTCAGATTATGAAAGTTTTAATACTCAAAACAGCCATTTTTGCTGATGTATCCAGGATACACTGAATGATTAGAAAACATTAAATTGCTTTATCTGCCACTAAAAGAAACTGCAATTTTTTTTGTTTTTATAATCCCAAGTCTTGGGAGATTGAGTCAGAAGAGATTGCCTTGAGTTTGAAGCCAGCATGGGCTATGTACCGAGTACCAGGCCAACCTGGGTTACAGTGTAAGACCCTGTCTTCAGAAAGAAAAACAAAAGTTTAGAAGTGCAAATGCCTTAGATGGAGTTCCCCTGGAATGTTGGAGAGAGAATACCAATGTGTCTGAAGTCCATTGGGAAGTGAAATGGGGAGGAGAGAAGGAGGGAGACCAAGTAGCCTTAAGTGACACAGGGACTGTTGGGATCTTTGAGTTGAAGGAGTGACATATTGTGATTTTTTTTCTATCTATTTGTAGGAGCAAGGACAGGAGCAGAGAAATTGCTTAGGAAGGCTCTACAACCATCCAAGTGAGAGGTCCTGTGGCCTCACCTCGGTGGCCAATGGGGATGAAGCGAGAGGCGGGAAATGACTCCAATAGCTATGGAGGGTGTTTAAAATGTTCCTCAAGGAAGAAGCCGGAGCCAATATTTGAATCTGAAGTAGAGCATCAGATGGGTGGCTCCAGGTTCCAGGTACTCAGTGGCCAGGGCTCCAGAGCAGGTGAGTGCTGAGGGGTTGGGACGAGTGAAGGCCTGGATTTGAGTACAGAGTAGGAATTTGATGTCTCTAGAGTAGGTTCTGGGTTTCCATGTGTGAGAGTCTGGGCCATGAGAGTGATAATGGGTAAAGCACACAGGTGCTCACACTGAAACAGTCAGGGTTCTGGGAGCTTCCCAGTGAGAATCCTCCCCCACTGAAGTCACCGAGAGGGGAGCAGAAATTGGCAAGGAACATAGCTAAGGCCTTGATAAGCACAGTATAGTAACCCACAGATGTAGATGAGAAACACTGAGAATAAGAGACAGAAGGTCAGATGGGAGCAACATGAACCCAGGAGTGTAATCTACATGGAACACATGTGTGAGAAGGACAGGCAATTTTCTCTACATGGGACACATATGTGAGACAGGCAAATGTCAACCACTTCAAGCCTGCCAGGCATTCAGAAGGTGGTCTGCAAAGAAAATTGAGTCTTTTGAGCAAGAACAGGGGATACTTCTATTTTAGTGGGAGTGGATAAGAAGAAAGCATCATCTGTTCCATAGCCATATAAAAACTGTGCACCCACCTTTTCTGCCAGGACAGTTGCATTAAGGACATTCAGAGAATCACAACAGACAGTTGTACAGACTGGATAGTATTTAATATGATCAGGTCTTAAATAAGAAGCCATGAACACAAACATTCAAAACTAAATACATAATAAATAATCATTAAGTTATAAAGTACATCATTCATATTAAAACTTAATTCTCAGGTGTGACTGTAAATAAAACATAGCAATAACATAGATCAATAATGCTATGAATTTATTCTCATGTACAAAGAAGACACTTTCAGCTACAGTATTAATGGCCATTTTCTCTGTATACTGATGACCTACAGCAATACCTCTCTCTCTCTCTCTCTCTCTCTCTCTCTCTCTCTCTCTCATATCTACCCTCCCCCCCCCCCACCCTTTTCTTTCCTAAAAGCAACTAAATATCACATGGGATGAAATTTAACTCAAAAGTGTGGTCAGGTGTTCTTGTAACAGTACACAAAACATTAAAACTCAGACATATAAAGCTCAAAAAAAATACAGAATAGACTTAGGAAGTCCCCACATTCTTATTCTACAGATAAGAAATTGAAAATCAAAAAAGTTTAAACTGGTGGCGACCTTCATGGTCAACAGTGTGTCAGGTCCAACGTGTTACCACCCACAGTGAACAATAATGTCAAGGACTGGCTGAGTCTTGAGCACAGAGAGATTCAAGACTGTTGTGCCAGACTTACTTTGTCTAGTTTATTCCAAAGCATCTCTTTCCCTCGGCTCGTGGAGAAGCCGTTACTGGCATTTCCAAACTATACAAGCTCTTAGCCTGTGCTGCATTGAATTATTTGTGCTTCTAGAGTAGAAATAGCCAGTGACTTCAAAGGCTAGAACATATTTTTAACAATAAACACACCAAAATAAATACATTGTCTTAAATATAAAAATCACAGTGTCAAGAAGTCAACAGTTATACAGCCAGAAACAACAGCAAAATAAAACATGGAGAATCCCCTCTCTCTTCATCATTGCTTTCATTTCAAGGATTGCATCTCTGCTTCAGTCTTCCAGCAGCAAACTCAACAACCCATGCTAGCACCATTGGACACCGAGGTGGGCTACGTGTGTATAATGACATCAAGAATAACACATTTACAGTTACACAATTTCTTTGCAATATATATTTTAAAATATTAAGAGACTATGTTGTTTCTGATTGTGACACTTTTCTGGGAATTAATTAACAATACTCAGCTCTATCTTAGTGCACTGTGTCTGTGTTTGTTTTAAAAGCATTTGTAAGTAGACACTTTCTCCTTAGAGCAAAGCCTTCCCCCCATGTCATGCTTGGGATCTCAGATTCATTTTAACAATAAGAAATTCTCAAAGAGATTATACTATTCCAGGGAAAATAGCTTTCTAGACTTTTTAACTTGACATTGAAACATACTGTTGGAATTTACAGCAAATGGCGGAACCATTTGCTCAGTCTAGCCTCTGTGGTTAAAAGACTGGAATGTTAAGTAAAAGTCTGTTTAAAACTGGGACGAACCTCTTGTCTCTTGATTTATCTCCTGGTTTTGATTTTAAATAGATGGTTGAATTTAACTTATCAAAAGTGTGCACACAATGTATCCTAAGTGCTGAACTTGTTTGAAATGCTTTTTCTTAGACGTTTCGTTTTACTTAGAGGAAAGGAAGGAAAGGATGTGGGTTAGGAGATTGAGGCTGGAGTTAGCAGATTCGTCACAGCAAGGCTGGAGTTAGCAGATTCGTCACAGCAAGGCTGGAGTTAGCAGATTCATCACAGCACACCCATAGCCACTTGAGATGAGAGCTACAAACTTGAAAACTCTATTTGGCTCCAGAAGACTGGTGATATTTGAACTGCCATAGGTTTTGGTTGCCATCTTCACAAGATTAAACTATTAGCTTATAGAGGGACTTGACACTGGGAAGAAGGCGAGTTAAGCCTGCTTCTTAATGCGCCCTTACCGCTTTAAAAAACAGTGAAGGCCAGCGGTGAGCTTCATAAATAGGTTAAATTCTACCATGCTTAAGTAGTTTGATAGACCTAATCAAGAAGAAAACTTGTTTGTACCCACCTGGAAAAACTCTCTTGTAGAGTATAAATAGATTAGATATCGATATGCCAGATGTTAGTGGTAATGAGTAAACCCTTCAGACATGCTTTCAAGTACAAAGTTTTTCTTAAAGAATAAAGACTTCAGTTTTCAATTTCATCTTACGCTTATGTATTTTCAGCTTACATCATTCAGTTAGGATCATAATGGACCTTATTCTTGAAGACCAACAAATTCTCTAGCTATATTTTTTTAGTTAAAATCTTTAGTTCTCCCCTTCCAATCAAAGAATGTCTCAGTTGGACGATAAGATGAAGCCACAACATAAGAAGTCCCAGAAATCCCTGAAACGGGAAGCTGGACTCTTGTTGAGAAGAGATTTTCCATGTTGACAGCATGGAGTCTGTGAAGGGAACCACAAATCTGCGTAGTAAATGATCTTAACCTGCAGCTTTTCTGAGTTGTTCATATCCTAAAATACTGTATTTCTCCCCTCGCAATCCCAGGAGGCAAGATGTACTCCTGCGTTAGTGAGCGTCTATAGTGTCCGGCGTCTCCTCGGGTCCTCGGGAATCTTCGGCCCTCGGGAATCTTTGGGTCCCGTGTGTTCTAGGAAAGATGCTGATGAATCATCTGTGGAAACGACAGCCTGTGAGTAACTTGCCATAAGAGGCGACCCGGAGACAATGTGGAAGAGAAAGAAATGCATTTAAGGTGCATACCATTTGAAGGAGCCATTTTAGTCTTTCTAGGAATTCTTTGGGTGTTTTTTTCTCATACGAATCACAGGCAGGGCATTTCTGGAAATCAAAATAAATAAATAAATAAATAAATAAATAAATAAATAAATAAAATACTTAAAAACTCGTAAAATTCTTTTTTTAAAAACTTTGTACTTTATAAAATACATATGTAAAATGCATTTCTTCTCTTGCAAACATAAGTCACATTCAGTAACAAACATTAGGAAAATTCTATCAGATTGTTCTGTGATTTCATCCTCAGAGACAACGCTTCATATTTTGGTGTTTAAACTATTATATCAGGGTTTTTGCACCCTTTCTTCTTCATCTCCTTCTTCTTTCTCCTCCTCCCCCTACTCCTCTGTCTCCTCCTCCTTTGCATTCTTGTTACCCTGGTTCTTACATGCTGTTTGTTGTTAGTTTTTAGCCAATTACAAGGGTTTCCTGGGCCTTAGATACACTTTCAGCACAGGATATGTGGCAGCTACTTTGTTTTTCAGCACAGATGGAGCATAAGTGCTATTTTTGGATACAGACGTGGTGTCTAACTGTTCCTTTTTATGTACAATTCTACAAATATCACCTGGGCAGGTAATTTTTTATATATATCAAATTTCTAGAGTTTATGAAGTAGATTATAGGGATAAATACCTCAAGGAATATACATTGTAAAACATGTTTCCTCTTTGCACTTAGACTAGTCTTACCACTGTTGGGTACTGTTTCCACAATTTACAAGACAGGATTCCCTTTTTTAACTTCTATTCACTTGATAACTAGGGATACTGAGCGAATTTTCATAGGGTGTGGCTGGCTTTCCTCCCTTCTCATCAGTCTCTCTCCCTCCCTCCCTCCCCCTTTCTCCTTCAGATTTATGCTCATTCTTATTTCAATACCAAAACAACAGGCTGCTTCTTAATGCTCAGTCATGTGAGATCACGGTGAGAACATCTGGGGACAGCACTACAGCTTTGTTCTTCCTAATCTTGACACAGCTGTTTGTGAAACCTGGAGAAAGTTGGCCCCTTTATAGTTCTCACTTTCCTCACATCTACATGAACGAGCTTGGTGTAGAAGAGTTGGGTTCCAGGTCTACAGCATACAGCATCGTTTCCTAAGTCTCTTTATCACTGCCCCTCCCCCATTTCTCTTTCCTCCTGCTTTCCTTCCTTCCTTCCTTCCTTCCTTCCTTCCTTCCTTCCTTCCTTCTTTCCTTCTTTCCTTTCCTTTTCTCCCTCCCTTTCTCTCTCCCTCCCTTCCTCCCTTCCCTCCTTCTTTGAAGCTTCCTGAACAAGGTCTGATCCTGATAAACCAGAGTGTCCTGAAAGTCTCAATCCTCCTGCCTCAGCTTCCTGGTGCTGAGCTTGAAAGCAGGTACTAACTTCTCAGGCAGTTCCTTTCTTTGTGAAGAAAGTTTTAGAGGGACATTTTCACATAATAACCTGGCCGAGCAATCAGAAGAAACAAGACTCCCTTTCATAATGTAATTATGATTTCATTATAGTCCATGTGGCATTTCTTGAAGGACAGACAACCAATAAATAAAACAGAAAAACTTATTTTATGTCCTCTCTGCAGATTTTGATTAATGTTTGAATTAGTTGATTATTGAGTCTCTGCATTGCATATAAGTTGGCCAAAGAAGATATGCAAGGAAATTCAGGATTCCCCCCCCCAAAAAAAAACAGGAACCTGGATTTCCCAGCCCCATAAAAAGATGCTCTCTTTTAAATTTAATATTGACTCTGCTTTTGCCTGGGACAGAAATACTTTAATCTTGGTGTTGTAAGCTCTCTTTTCTTGTCAGACAGCTAAAATCTAGTCCCTGATAATGATGACACAAGCTATGGCCAGGACATGGATGAAAGGGAATTATCTCTTAACTTCTAACACGTCCTCTTCCTAATGGCTTTGTCATCCCAGAAGCTTCTGTTAACATACTGCCAAGGGAGTCATAGCCAGTTCTAGTTGGGTTTCTAGAGGGACAGTGAAGACTTAATGGAGGTGACACCACTTCTCAAAGTGTACCTTGTACATCATGGAGTAACACTGCAAGAAGGTGGGCGGAGCTGTAGCTGCTGTGTGGATGTGTGAAGCGCAGTGTGTTACAGCTAACAAGTAAAATTCGGATAGATAACATGCTCCATGCTAGTGATAACTTGGAACAAGAAAGACGACAAAGGACAATCTTACAGCTATGTGCCTCTGTTTCTTCCCTGTCCTCCTGGCAGGCAACCTTCTCCTCAGCTGTGCCACTAAGTCAAGGATGAATGTCTTATTGTTGCCAGTGTTTGATGGCTTGAGTTTGGCCTTCTGAAAACAGACAAAAGCTGCATGCTCACAGTGCCCCTGAAAGAGAGACAAGTAGCATATGTTAATGACCTTAAAGATAATTAGCATTTGTTAATATCCTTAAAGATAATTAGCATGTGTTAATGACCTCAAAGATAGTTAGCATATGTTAATGAACATTGTTCCAAAGGTTAAAAATGACCTTCCAGCTCTCAGCTTCTGCTTGGACATTTGTCTTGGACATTTGTTTTAGGGGTTCCATTAGGTCTTGTCATATCTCCACTTAAACTTTGCCAAAGAGTTTTTCCCACGTGCACAGCCTCCCATCTGGAAGAAAAAGGAGCCATTTCCTACCACACAGAGACAAGCAGGGTCCTCACTCTTTACAATTTTCTATGCCTGATGTTGTACCGATGTCACTCTGAAGTTGAATCGGTTGGGCAACAGCTTTGTTGGATAGTGTGTGTGTGTGCACACACACACACACGCACGTGCACAGGCACACAAGCACATGTGTTTGTAGCCTGTTTGTTTGTGTGTGTGTGAACCTGATGTGTATATGTGTTATGTGTGTGCATGTTTATATGTGTTACGTGTGTGTGTGTGTGTGTGTGCATGCAGGTGGCTGTAGAAGTATGTGGAAGGTATGAGAACCCAGGGCCACACACACACACACACATATATATACATACATGTATGTATGTATGTATGTAGTATGTATGTATGTATGCAGTCTACCACTAAGCTAGCAGACCAGCCTTTCTATCTGTGACAGAGAATTTAGTTTAGGAGCACAGTCACTAAACTCTGAGGCTGTAAATTGTGATTCATGGCAGCTTTGTGGAAATGATCCAACAGTCTGGCTAAGAATTTTTCATCACTTCTGTCCACTCTGCACACAGGTGTCTCCATGGGTGGTTTGCCTAGGGCAGCACTCTAGTCTGCAGTACCTGATGCAAGTGCTCAGTAACTAACTGTGGCTCCATTAGTGGGTGAATGAGTTAAGACCACCCCAGTAATACAGTCTAAAGTGTTTCACCTGCTCCAGCCACCAAACATCTCAGCCTTGTCTGCATAGGGCAGGATTCCCAATGAAGGGTCAAAACACAGAAATTAAAACTTGCTTAACCAGTGGTTAGGACAACCTTCTTTAGAAGAGCTGTGTCAGAGACTGGACAAGTAAACAGACTAAGGATCAAAGCCTTCTCTTTGCTTCAGTCAAATACCCACTGGCCAGTGAAGAATCTCAAACATTCCTATTGTTCCATTCCTAACAACAGAATCCATTGGAAGAGCACGCTGGGCAAGCGCTCTTTCACTGAGTTGAATGAACCCTTGGCTATGGAAGAGCAACATCTGAAACCATCTTAACTCTGATCCAAGAACTCCTGACTGGGTTGCTGCTTCCTTTAGCGTGTGTGTGTGTGTGTGTGTGTGTGTGTGTGTGTGTGTGTGCGCGCGCGCTATTCTCCCTGGAAGTTGCTACATCTTCTTGTCACCAATGTGCATTTAAGCCACTAGCTTCCAACCAGAAGCGTCCCTCCTTCCCAGCGATCTTGCCGGAATCTCCTCGGGGACAATCAGCTGAAAGAGCAGCTAGCCTGCTTTGCATTTTCCAACCTATGCACTTGGCCACCATGAAAGTTGACTAATAACAAGAGCCTATCAGCCTTGCTTTGCATAGGCAGCAGTAAGCCCAGTGTGGCTTATCTAGTCCCTTCTATCAGGTAGCTTGCCTGTCACTAGGGCAAAGCGCCAGCCTTCCCATGTTTGCCAAAATGCTTATTTAATAGAAACTATTTATAAACGTTAATTATAGCACTTTTTTTTTCCTTGAAAACCACATGTTCATGTTTGTTGAAGTTTTTTTCTTTTCTCTTCTTTTTGACCACAACCGGCTTAACTTACTGGAAAAAATAATATTCATATTTAAAGGGGTAAATTTTCCAGCTGAAACTGAAAACGCTAACTGCTTCATCTGTGATGATCTGAGAAACCAGCATTTCTCACAGGGGCTTATTTTGCTGAGTTAACATTTTCATCTGTACACTGAAAGAAAAGTAGGTTCCAAAGAAGCTTGGGGAGAGGTCGGCAGAACAAACTCCCTGAGACTATCCGGCCAGGAATGGCCAGGCTCAGACATCAAAGCCTCACCCAGACTCGAGGAGAGATATGGCGTCAGGATGTGCATGTGCCACTGTCCCCACCCTTCCCTATCTACTACTGATAAGACACAGGTTTAGTTTTGTCCTACAGGAAGCAGCCTGTCTCTAGAAATGTGTGATCTGGGACAGGAATCTTCAGGCTGGACTTCAGGGCAAGGCAGAGGCAGAAAAGCAGTGGAGAAACAGGGCCTGCCTCGTGAGAGTCTGAGAGATGGGGAGTGGGTGGGAAGGTGGAGGGAATCTGGAGCCTCTGAGATCCAGGAGGCTTGGAGACAGAAAATAATCATGCTTGTGTTTCCTGGCTACTTTTCTCAGCTGACCTCAGTGGAGAATCTGAGGAATTTTCTAGACCTCCTTGGCTCCTGCAGACTGGAAGGTACAGTTAGCCAGGAAAGGAGCTGAAAAGCCACTCCTCTCCTTAGTAGAGAAGAGATTTTCATAAAAGGCATACTGGCTTGCTAGTTCTACAACTGAATGTCTGAAAGGATAAGACTAATTTCTTACAGCCTATTTCTGACAAAAAAAATCATTTTTTATCTTTTGGAAGGAAAGACATGGCCAAGTTACCATAGAGTATTTTAGCAACTGTTAGGTGACTTGGCTTCATCACAAGACCAGGGTTTCCTAGTGACACTGTATTGGGCTGGATAACTTTGCTGTCAGATCCATTCCACACATTCCACAACATCCCTAGCAGCCCTGGCCTCTAGGGACCAGATTTAGCACCCTCAGCCCATCCCCAACTATGCCAACCAAAGTTTCCTCACATAATGTCAATGCTCACCTGGGGAAGGGCAACAAACCCTTGGATACATGAGAATGGGAGACACAAGGGAGGGGGTTGGCTACAAATCTCAGTAGCCTTGTAGAATTTGTTACAGACCCTGCTTTGGATGCTAGCTCTGAAAACTTGATACATAGTTTCTGTAGCCCTTACTGCCTGCCTCTGTCTTTACGTCGCCTGCCCGTGTAGCTTGAAGGTGTTAGTTAAAATAATACTCAATGCTTCGTAGGCAATTCTGCTTGGTCAAATCATCAGAATGATACAGGTACGCTGAGACAAATCTTCTCATGAAGATGTAAGACTTTCAAATATCTGTTAGAAGATAGATTTCTAGAGACTGGGAAGGGAGCAAAGGAAGAGAACAGAGGGCGTGTGGACAAGGCTGTGCATGTATACAATCACAGGGACCCGCATCAACTTGTATTAATGTGTATTAGCAATGTAAAGGTGATAAAAATTAAAGTGGCTACTGGGAAATTCAGATTTAAAAAGGTATCTTTCACTAAAAAAATGTATCCAAAAAGCACTCATTGGGTCAACTCAGATGAAAATGAAGGATTTTCCTATGTTCTACTTTGTAAGGTACGAGCTGCAGGCAGGCAACCCTAGAAAGAACTGTACCCCCAATAATCAAACATGGTGCATGAGATGCTGATAATTAGACATGTTGAGAAATATTCTCACTTATTGGAAATGTCCTTTGAATAAGTTTGAATGTGCGACTTTCAGTTTAGAGGCTGCTCATTAGAAAGGACCTAGTAAACACAGGAGTGGTCCTGTTGAGAGCTAGAGAGTGAACAGAGCAGAGAGGCGGTGTGACTCACTCACTTTCTAAACTTTTACGCTGTCATTTACCATAATTCTCTTCTTTGAGTGTCTGTGTGGTGTCCTCATTACTGGCAAAACTCTCCTAGTTTTCCTGATTTGTGCAATTAAAGGTCTAGCAGTGCGAGCATTTCCCCAGTTTCATTTACAATGCTCAATTACCAAGCTGAAGACCGGAATAAAGAAGTTCTCGGGGAAGAGACAGCAGAAGCCCCTCCACACTATAAGCCAAGCTCCTCCTCCATGGGATATGAATGGCACAAGGGTTGGAATGAGCTGTAGAGAACGACCCTTTGGAAAGACTTCACCAAAGACTAAAGACAAGGAGGCCCAGGTACATGGGAGTTACACTCAGGGACTTGTGATTTCTGCACTCCGCTCTCTGCCTTCCTGGCAATTTCTTTCTTTCTTTCTTTTCAAATATTTGTTATTAAAATGCAAGTGTTGCCTTCTATCTTAAATAGGACCACAAAGAAAGTTACAGAGCTTTCATATCCCAAGGCTCTAAAAATAGAATTATCTGTTCCTCGTTCAGAAACTGATCCCAGCACAGCTTTTTATCATTGCTAGTTTGTCTTAGGAACTCTAGAGGGTAAACATGTATTTTATAAGGATATGTCATATATCATTTTAAGGATTAATAATATATATATATATAATTATAAATATATATAATGTATGATATTTTATAATATCATTGTTTGGTTCACTAGTAAATCTATGGATACATGGCCAAAATGGAAATGAACATTTTGCCAATTATTAATCTCCGAAGTCATTGAAAATCAGCATAATCATTCTAACTGACTTGTTAGACTTTAAACTTACATAAAATACATTTTTAGAAATAAGTTCAACTGATCTTACCTTTACATCTTGTGGAGCTGGTAGAAGTTCAGGATCCTAAGAAAATTAGCCAAAAAGAATTAGTTGTGAGTCGGTGATGCAAGCCAAAATGCTCCTTTTGCATTAATTAAAAATATTATTTAAATTGCATTGTGACAAACAGAGCCTTACCAAGTCATTCTCATAGATTTTCAGCTGTTCAACAATGTCTATAAGATGACGAAGTCTAATCAGGAGGCGATCTGGCCCTTGGGAGGTTGATTTATGGGCCACTGTCCCCAAGAAGATGACTACCAGACAGACAAGGGTCCTCTCCATGCCACTAGAACTGGGTCTCCAGCAGCTGATGAGCAGGGCCTTGATCTGGTTCTCACTTCAACCTGACTGTGGACAGGTTGTCTCTACAGCTACCTATTTATTCATCCCTCAAGAAGAGGCAAAGCCCTCCCATTGCAGCCTGGAAATCTTTGTACAGTGGATGAGTGTGAGTAACTCACTCGTTTTTCTTTTCCATTGGCTAGGTATACGTGTGCGTGTGGGGGCAGGGATGGATAGAGTCCACGAAATGTGCCCCATCTGCATCTTAGACAGGAAAAAGAGACACATGGGTGAATTCCAGTTTTCAGCACTTAACAAGGTGTGTGTGTGTGTGTGTGTGTGTGTGTGGCACAGGAGGCACCATCAGATTTCAGAGAAGTAAACACAAACACTTTGATCTTTTGCTCTGCACCCCTGGCACCTTACCTGGTTTGTCTGACAGTCATAAAGACACTTCTGCAATGAGTAAAGCAGCGGTGTGTCCTTTATTGGAACTTTTCATAGGGTAATGACTATGCTTTTTGACTGAACCATCCTGTATTCCATTGCAAAGATGGAAGAGGTTAACTTTTAGGAGAAATTAAATGATGGGCTAGTTTCCTAACTAGCAAGAGATACTTACCTGTTTGCAGGGGTATTAAAATAGGATTTTCTTCCAATTTTTACCAATGTATCTTTAAATAGCACTAATGGTGCTTCCTGACACTTTATGTAACAATATGGTTTGTAGATATAATAAACTGTTTTGATGAGCTATGTAGACAGTGTGCTTTCTGTGAAGACCTCGTTCTATCTTCATTAAAATAAGGGCCCACTGTATTATTCTGTACTACACATTGCTTATATTTAATGCACCAATTAAACAAATGAAAAAGGATAAATACTCCTTTCTGTCCACGTTTTAAAAAAATATCTTCAAACACCAAGAGCAAAAGTATCTGTGGCGTCTCTTTTCCTCCTAGGGCTGTGCTGGCTATTTCTGTTGGACCTTGTCTCCACTGGGTCTGAGCAGCATGCTTCTAATTGCACTTGTGATCAAGTAGAGGCTGATAAAAGTCTCAGAGAGCAGACGTGGTTTTAGCACCTGCCTCTCTGCTGCATTTCTTGTCTTTATGGTCCTTCACCCACTGGAGAAAGTTGAATATTATACTCTTGTTCAAAGGATGTGTAGGCCATAGTCAGGTATGTCTTACAAATAAGCCTCTTGACTGTAGATTTTGATTTACCTGCTTGTCCACTCATTTTTTGGCACACTTACAACCTTACCTTCCTGTATTCCAGAATACTATGGAGCCAACATAGAGTTTGTACCTGATTTACAAACTCTAATACTGAAATCTAATAATTTCTGAAATCTAATAATATCTATCTATTCAAGCTATGATCCTATGCAGGAGATGAACATTCTTAGTCTGATGAAAAGGTACTTCTGATAATCATTCAGTTCTGTAAGGGAAGTTGCTGTGTGAACTTGTTAACCAATAAGAACCAAAGCTCACCACTTGGTGCGCCCCATGGCTTTACTCACATGGTCTTTTCTACACGTTTTCCTGATGTTCTATACATGGCGATTAAGAGTTCAAAAGCAGACTTCCTGAGTTTGAGTACAGACTCTAACAGTGAATTGCCATATGACCTGAGCATGCTCTGGTGAGCGGAGGGTGGGAACTTTACAGGCTTACAAGTCCAAGGAGAGGGCTAAGTACAGCACATGATGAAGGACCAGGACACTGATTGATCCTAACTGAGGGTGGGAAGGAGGTATGGACATATACAAAGAAGAGCGAGACCAACACTAAGCCATGCGTGTGGCGTGGCTTTAGTGACGGTAAAAACATCGAAAGTCATGCTGCCCACAGGAAACCACTGCTCTTGATCCCGTTGCAGACCCCATCATGCCCCAGGACCCCCTGGCACTTTGCACAAGCCACCTGTCCAGATCAAGTCTCAAGTGTCCTGCCCAAACATCCCAACCCAGGAGCTGTTAGGAGTGGAAATCCCTGGGGACAGTTCTGCAGTGCTGAGGATACTAGCATTATGGGACCCACAGAAAGGAAGGTGAAGGGTCAAAGTCAAAGTTGATGAGGTGACAGAAACATAGCCTGCACAGCACACAGGCAGAGTCGTGTATCCTCAGAGGCTGGAGAAACCAAGGAATGGGCCAACGCTAGAGCAGTCTTTCTCAACCTGTGGGTCGCGACCCCTTGGAGGTTAACTTCTCAACCTGTGGGTCATGACCCCGTGGAGGTTAACTCACCCTTTCACAGGGGTCAGCTAAGACCATGGGAAAACACAGATTTTACACTACGGTTCATAACAGTAACTAAATCACAGTTAAAAAGTAGCAATGAAATAATGTATGGTGGGAGCATTAGGAAGGTTGAGAACCACTGCTTTGGGGATCCCAGCCCACCACACAACCACGTTCTTCTACGAGCTCATTGTGCCCCTGACCTTTTGACCTGCAAAATACTTACTTTGAGTTGTTTTGTATTTGTTTGGTTAGCAATATAATTTTGTTTTATTTTTCCCTCTTATTGAAAATAGATTTTTTTCTAATATAACATATCCTGATTGCAGTTTCCCCTCTCCATACTCCTCCCAGTTCCTCCTCACCTCCCCTTCTATCCAGATCTACCCTGTTTCTGTCTCTCAATAGAAAACCAACAGGTATCTAAGGGATAATGATAAAATAAAATATAATAAGATGAAACAAAAACTATCATATCAGAATAGGACAAAACAAGCAATAAGAAAGGGGATAAAAACAAGAAAAGACTAACAACAAGCATATAGACACAGAGGCACAAACAAGTGTGCATTTGCTTGCACACTCAGGAACCCCATATAAACACTAAACTTGAAGCCATAATATATAGGCAAAGGGTCTGTAGTATAAAAAAGAGAGAAGAAAATAATTAGTAATAATAAATCTAAAATTAAAAATAAGATAAATTTTTTTAAAAGAAGGACAAGCTCAGACATGACACAATGAGACAAGAACCTCCAAAGGTGTCATGGCGTTGTTCTCTGTTGACTGAGTACTGCTAGGCCTTAGCCCATTCTAAAGAGTAGTTTGTTTCCCCACTGGGACTCCCTTGGAGGAAACTGAATTTTCATTTACAAGTGGCTATCAATTGGAGATTGCTTCTAGGTTAGAAATGGGGACATGTGTCCATTTCTTTCAGCTCAGGGAGCCCCTCTGGTGTAGACACACATAGGCCCTTGCGTGCTGCCTCAGTCTCTGTGAGTTCCTACGAACTGGGTGTTTAGAAAGCCTTGTTTTCTTGGTGTTCTCCATCCCTGCTGGCTCTTACATTCTTCCCACCTACTATTCTGGAAGGTTCTCTGAGCTCTGCGGGAAGAGCAGTATCGGGTATGGGTTCCATTCCTGGAGTGAGCCTTATGTCTAATTAGATATTGGTTAGTCACTCCCACAAGCTTAAGTCACCATTGTCCCAGCATATTTTGCAGTCAGGATACCACTGTAGATCAGAGGATTTGTGACTGGGTTGGTGCTTATGGTTCTCCTTTGGTGGCATCTTGAGTACCTTCCTGTACCAAGACACGAGCAAGTAGAGCTGAAGGCTCTTGTGGGCAAGAGCATGACTTCTCCATGTTCAGTGAGTTGTGTAGGAGTTGATTTTAGCCCTCGGGGCTTGATCTCAGTTTGTGGAGAGCAAACTATAGTCTTGGCAACAGCCTGTGTTATTTGGGGCTTCCTATGGAACCCTTTTGGCCAACCACTCAAATAGATACAACCCAATCCCAGAGCTGGAAGCTTCATTTGGTGACAAGAGATGTTCAATTGGGGCTTTATCTAAACCCATTATTTGGCAATTTTATATAGATTGCCTTCATACATGTATATATTTTAGGAAGCTTCTACTGTATTAGGTTTTCATGCTGCTCTTCAAATGGCCTTTAATTTCAGCGGTCTCTCCCCCTATCCCTCCATCATCCCCCACTTTCTTCTCTCTTCCCACTTGATCCTCCCATTCTAGTGACCTCCCCACCCATCCATAATTATCTATTCTATTTATCTTTCCTAGAGAAATCTGTATGTTCTCCACTAGTCCCTTACTCAGTATCTAACCTCTGTGGTTCTACCAATTGTAGGTTGGTTAGCATTGACTTCACAGGCAATATCCACATATAAGTGAATACATATTATATTTGTCTTTTTGGGGTCTAGGTTACTTCATTCGGGATGATTTTTTTCTAGTTCCATCCCTTTACTTGCAAATTTCATGATTTCATTCTTTTTAATGCCTGAGTAATATTTCATTGTATAAATGTACCACATTTTCTTTTTCTATTCATCTGCTAAGGGGCATAGAAGTTGTTTCCAGTTTCTGGCTATTATGAATAGAACAGTAATGGACATGGCTGAGCAAGTGTCCTTGTGGTAGGACAGAGCATCCTTTGGGTAGTGCCCAAGAGTAGTTGGATCTTGAGGTAGAGTGATTCCCATCTTCCTGAGCAATGGTCACATTGTTTCCATAATGGCTATACAAAGTTTGTACTTCCACAAGCAATAGATGAATGTTCCTATTTCTCCACATCCTCATCAGCATGAGCTGTCACTTGTTTTATTGATCTTTGCCATTCTGGTGGGAGTAAGATGATCTTTTTGATAGGCTATTGGATTCTGTAAGTATTTTATTGAGAATTTTTACATCTATGTTTAGAAGACAAATTGGTCTATAATTCTGTTTCTTTGTTGGGTCTTTATATGTGATTTGGGTATCAAGGTAACTGTGGCCTCATAAAATGAATTGGGCTATGTTCCTTTTGTTTCTGTTCTGTGGAATAATTCAAGGAGTCTGTTGTTATGTCCCCCTTTTCATTTCTAATTTTGCCAATTTGGATATTCTCTCTCTGTCTTTTAGTTAATTTGGATATGGGTTTGTCATTTTTAATGATTTTCTTATTGATAGTCAGGTAGCATTCAGGGAGTTATTTCAATTCTCTTGCACCAGCTGAGACTTGCTTGTGCC